TGTCCAACAACCGTGGCGTGCTTAAAATAGCTGTGGAATTCCTTGCTTTCATCATGAGCCTTCACATGACTTAAAGTCTTGTTACCAATTCGATCTGCAGTTGTGGTAAACATTGAACTTCGATATTCTCACGCTATTGGACACGTAGAACAAATGCGATAAAAAAGATAATGTCTTGCACTGTTGCTCACGTTGACCTTGACCGAAGCACCAAGCTCACCGAGCTGCATGTTTACAAGGCAAATGGAGCGGAACTAAGGTTAGAAGTACACGGGATCAAGATCGGGAAAACAACTCGCGTCAAGGACAAGGACGGACAAAAGCTGTGTAGTACGTACGTAACCAGTGTTCAACGCTCCATGACTATCGTGTCATGTCAGGGACCAGACGTTCCTCAACGTAAACTGATGGGCTACGCGTGGAAACAGCTACGGCCAAGTGTAAACGTAGCTACGGCCAAGTGTAAACCACCAAAGAGCAAGTGCAATCATGTCCAACAACCGTGGCGTGCTTAAAATAGCTGTGGAATTCCTTGCTTTCATCATGAGCCTTGACATGTGTAAACGTAGCTACGGCCATGCGTAAACGTAGCTACGGCCAAGCGTAAATGTAACAGATACGGGACTGAAAAACATTTACACACTAAAACCCCAAAACTACATAGTGAACGACAAGCGCAATTATTGTGTTGTCTTATGCATGCCATTGTATCCAATTTCCGTAGCTCGATAGTCATTGTAGCAGTTATAGATTGTCTGACGGACCTTCAGACCACATGAAATGGCCAACAAGACCTATCACAACTACCCTCTCCAGTTATTCTGCAAGAGTTTTAAACTGGCAATTGAAGAATGTTTTAATTTTTGAATGAATAATTTTGTCAAAACAAACACCGGAACATAAGGACATTATGGTACGTATAATTAATTATAAAGACCAGGAATGTATAGCAGTACTTCCCACAGCTGTGAAAGGTGTATATGCATTTGACACAGGAGGTAGCGAGTTCGTTTGACCAGTCGTACAGTCGGCACATCTTGTTCACAGTACATCGTGGTTTCAACCGTAGTCTGTCAATCCAACTTTTGGGACACCCCTTTTGTCAAATATCTTCCAAATAACCCCAACTGATCACATGCCATTAACGTATATTTTAATGATCCTCTTTGATGTCATAAGAAATGGTTTTAACTTTGTTGGTCACTTGGGGAAAAAGTTACTTAAGTAACTATCATTATAACTTGTGTTTGTTTTGGTGTCAAGAGACGGGGTGTAGTCGCAGTAAACGTAACAACTTACGTGTTGGGTCAGAGGGCAATTCACGTGCATGACCCCGGGACCCGGGGCATCTTTACAAGTGACTTGGAAGGACAGAGTTGTTACCCTCAGAATAATTTCCCCATGTTAAGCACAGATATGCAAACTTTCATAAAAATGTGTATAGTTTTTTTCAAGAATGAAGCCGACAGAGGATATCCTTTACAATCTATCACCAAGTTTACAGAAAGAACAGTGAAAATAAAGCCCTCAACACTTCATGTTATCTCCCCTGATCAGGTAATTAACAGTAGTCACTTAGGGACGGTCTCAAAATCAAACCAGACATCAGTAAAGTTGGACACTTTCAATCTGAGACTAATCAGGGACATAATTCGCCGTTTTTATCAGAGAAACCAACATCTCTCGTCAAGAAAACTCAAGAAAATTCTTGAAGATGAACACATCTGCATTTCCTGATTTACAATATGTAAATTATTAGTGGCAGCACTCTGACCCCAAAGTAAACAGGAACATTCCTCCAGGCAAGGGTGAGAGATTTATGTACACGCAGGGTCTCATCTGGGTTTCCTACCAGGATGTGACTTGGTGTTCAGATCCAAATCTACTGATGGTCGTGACTATCACACAGAGATGAACTCCACAGTGTTCACAGAATACGTCACAGAGCAGCTGATGGACAACGCACCATGCCACAGTATTAGAGATCCCCTGGAGAAGACTCATACCTCCACTTCCGGAAAACATGAGATGTGTAGTACTTCTTGGTTGTCCAGGCATGGTATCGGCTTTCAAGCTAAACTGTATGATACCATACTAGCGTACAAACCACCCCCTGTTTACTTGAGTGACACCATGGTCATGAAATTCTACGTTTGCCGCCCTATCACTATGACCTTAATCCAATTAAACTGATCTGGGGCAATTTAAAAGTATACAGTTGCCCGAAAAATGTTCCTTTGCTACAGAAATCTAAATGATAGTTACTTAGTAACTTTTTCCTAAGTGACCAACAAAGTTAAAACCATGTGTTCATATTACGTCAAAGGGGGTAATTAAGATATACGTTAATGGCATGTGATCTGTTGGTGTTATTTCGAAGATATTTGACAAAAGGGGTGTCCCAAAAGTTGGGTTGACAGACTATAAGATGGGATATCAGAGAGATTGTCAATATTACTGAGTGTGATGTTACGTCTCACACTACCACTGTCCTACACAAACATTGTATGGTACATCACGCACAACAACACTCCTCTAAAACATCTTGTAGCCCTAGGGATGTAACTCAACCTGCACTGCAACTATGTGTCTACCGCTTTGTCAATCCCACCACACTAGTAGGTCACGCATGAGTTACTTAATAGAAATACTCCTCGACCAGCGCGGATTATTGACATGAAATGTGAATACAAGCTGCGAAGAATGGAGCAGCCATTTGTGATAACGCAATACGTATATTGACTTAAAGGTCTTATAAAGACCGTCCTGAGAGACGCATAAAACACACAAGAGCGTACCTACTGAGCATCAAGAGTAGTTATCTGTCTGTTATTTCACCCAGCAATCATGACTAGTGTTCACAGGACTACTGGCGCATTCCATGCTGTGAAGTAACTGCCTGAACGTAGAGTGCACTACACCATGTCAGTACTTAAAGGTCACATGCAACGTAAAACACAACTTTGCAGATTCTGATACCTTTCGGTATGGACTTACCGAAACAAATCGTCAAAAATGCAAATTCAACTTATAAAGTTAAAAAATAACGCGATGAAAAAAAAACGCGCGAAATCGGAGTTCAAACGTTTCACTAATTTTCCCCAGACTTTTCTGGGGAATACGGGTTTCAACAGCTGGGCTGCGCTCATAGCACGTGCGCAGTGAAATAGGTTCGCGCAGCTTGGAAGCGGGTTGTCGGGTGAATACTCGGTGAAGGCTTTGGTGTGAGTTATTTTTCTAATGTTTTGTTGATATCTCACAGGCGCGAGCTTTTTATATGTTATGACAGTAAATTAACTGTTTATATAATTTCATTTGTCTATTTCACCACACGTTCTTCTTACCGAGTCACTTTCTCAGTTCGATACTTAAAAGCAATGTCATTATTTAGCGTCTACAGAATTTCTAACTGTGATATAGATATGTCGTTGTCACAGACAAAACTCAATGTCTTGTTTTATTGACACCTGTGTGTCTGCCTGCCTGTCCGCTAATGACAATATTCAATACACAACTGCTATCACTGACCACATTCAATTTGAACTTAACACCAATCAGGCTATACACCATAAACAAAATGCATTGATTTATGGCCCGAGTTCGGTCTCTGTCACATTATGTAATTACACAGACAGGCAGGTGTGATACTTGAACACATGACATGTTATGATGTCTGTTGATTGCAAAATGTTATACACAAAAAATGAGCATGTATTTACAAAACCCAACATCTCTATATATACACACACAATGAGCCGTGAAGGCATCTGCAAATGAACCAGCCGTTACACTTGAGTGCACACCCACCCGCTCTGACTGGGTTCGGTATCCCGGCTGCTTCGTTTCTTGGGAAGTAAACCGAAGTACACAATTTTGCACTTTTGATAAACGCTCATAATTTTGTTTATATGTTTTTCATTATCAGCAATGTATATTATATGTCATGAATAAGTGATAATTGTGTTTTAATTATGTTTGATTTTTTGGTTGCATGTGACCTTTAACAGGACTCTCATATCACTAGCATGGACCCGTAATATTATTGGTTTTGGTCCAATATCGGCCGACTCAGTCACTCATCTACACAAAAGTTCAAATTAAGAACGAACACGACACAAAGCTAAAACCCCAACAAAACAAACAAACAAACAAACAAAACCAAATACCAAACCGAAACAAAACAAAACACCTAAACGCAACCCTAAATAAATGGGAATATTACGGGGACGAAACTGGTCCGGAAAATAAAACGAAATGGGATTGCTTTATCCGATGCACTTTCTCACCTCAACACCTCACGTGTAACAACGTTAAGTGCTGGCATACAGTAGAAAACTATATGGGGGAACACTACCGGGCCGCCATGGTAAGGGTAACACACATTATATTTAAGTATACAAATATGGTTTACCGTCAGTTTAAACGTAATCTATTAATGGTAACATCAGTGTTCTGCTGATCGCCATGTTTGGACAGAGATAACCAAAATGTTGACAACACACTCCTATGTGTGTCCAGCCAATCACACCCAGCATTGGGCATTACGTAGCTAACTGCGCACGGAGTTTGTGTGAATTACATGCAGTTACAGTGACAGTTGTGTTTGCCCAGTTAAAGATTAGGAGCGGTTTGACAAGTCAGTGAAGATTTAAAAAACAATACGAATTGTTTTAAACGTCCCAAGTGTGAACAATGAATAATGGTTAAAGATTGAATACAGCCACATTTCTCTCCAACTCGTTGTAACATGGGAACAATTTCTGCCTGTAACACCCGTATTTTTAATATCATTCTACGCAGGAGAATAGATGTATTTATTTATAAAAAGCGGCGCTTATTTATAATCCAAACCCTTTAATTTATAATTTCACTACATTTACATTTTGACATTTCAAGCGGGGGTTACGGGTGGAACTCTTGCCAATTTAAATGACACAAACAGACATTGTATTCCTTTTTCCATTGTTGATTCCCTCACAGTTATATGTGTTAAATCTCACCTCGCTTGGCTTCTTCTTACTGACAACGGCGAGCAGTTCAGCGTGGTTCTTGTCGACTTTCTCGGACAACGCGTCCACCGTTTGTTTTAAGTTGTGCACCTGTAAAACCGTATCTGTCGACATGGCTGGTTATTAACAATCCACGACCGAGAAATCGTCAGTTTACAGTCGTCCCGAAAATCAGTTATGGTATAAACTCTTCACGAAAGCATCCACCCTCCTTTCCTCTGATGTTTCTCAATGGACACACTCGGCCGACTGTTGTGAACTTAGCTTGTTTGGGTGGGCCGCGGGTACGGGTGTTTTGTGGCGCTCTGTTCCCGTTTCTGTGTCAGAAACAAGGAACGTTATTGTGATGTGCAGGAATCTAACTTCGACAGTTTAGGTTTTAATGGCTTATTTGATTGTTTCTGGTTGAATTTTGTCAAGTTAAGGAGCATGTTTATAATTGAAAGGCAGTCATTGGTCATTGTTGCAAATACGATATGGTGTGTGATCATCTTACAATAGGTATTCATAGTGAAATCGATTTGCTTGAGACATGAACAAATATCGATCACATCTACCACAGACAAGATTGTTAATGGTGTCATCATGAAGGCAGCCTATTGAAAGGAAGAATGGGTTGGCTTGACTTTCACGAGTATTTTGTTTGTGGAATTCTGTTGTTAAACGCTGCACTCAGTGCATACGTGTGCGTGGTGAAGGTGCGAGGCTTTGACGTTTGTCATCAAAACCGGTTTCCTGAATGAAGCCGGTAACGCCTTCGCCAATGACTGTTCTGCAGTCTCTATTAATCCTAACAATAGGGGTCCAAGGTGGTATGTTCAACACTGTCAAATCGTCAACAGTTATTCGCCTGGTAAATCCATCCTGTATGCTGACTTCGGTCTGTAAACTATCCAGTCAGGACCAGACAATTCTATAACAATCTTTAACTGAACCTTCAAATAAAAGAAAATAAGCTAAAAAACAATAATGCTAGACAGAAGCAACTCTTAACGTAGTTCCATGTCGTATATAACAAGCAATTAATAAAACCATGAGTGATAATTACTTCTGTCAGTTGCTGATTGGTGGTTGTTATTGAATTTCATGTGAATTGATTCAATATATCTGAAAACGTTTTCACTGACCAGGTTTGAACTCGAGAACATTTGAAGTTTGTATGAGATATACGTTGGCATACACCTCTACCCCAACTTTCCATTTTTTTATATTTTTGCAAATGTTTGGAAACAAAGTCTCCAACTCAAATGTCGTTTATGCTTAGAACTTCGTTATTCTATACACCCCTGCGGTTCATGATGTGACTGATTATAAAGGGCACCCATCCATGATGATCAGGGGAACCATGCTGGTCGCACAAAGCTTTACCCCAGGTCTTTTAAAATCCATAGGTATTTACAGCTACGAAAACTAGTCAATTGCCAATCGCACATCTAATTCAATAAATACATTCTGACTCGCCCGTGGTTTTGGTGCCGATGTACTCGTACAGGACAACCGGTTTCTTTTATGCGGATTGTGGACGTATTCCAAAACAACGGGTTAGTGGATACTGAATAGAACCATGTAGGTCAACATATTGTCAAGATGGGCGTCGTGTAGCAGAAACTATTTGTCCATGAATGAAAGGCCAACGGTCATTGACATACAAGGCGCACAATATGGGTATATATTCTGTTATTCTGTGCTATTTCTGAACACTGAATGCCGACGTCACTATTAAACACAAACACACACACCCTCCTCGCCCGACCCCCACCTCACACCTTCTCCCTACCCCCACCTCCACACACACAAACACACCCTCGCCCTACACCCACATCCACACACACACACCCTCGCCCTACTCCCCCACCTCCACACCTCGCGCTACCCTCCACACACACACACCTCCTGGCTCCTACCCCCAACCCTCCACACACACACAAAACGCACCTCGCCCCTACCCCCACATCCACACACACACACACCTTTCTCCCTACCCCCACCTCCACACACACAAACACACCCTCGCCTACTCCCACATCCACACACACACACACCTCTCTTCCTACTCCCCACATCCACACCCTTGCGCTACCCCTCTCCACACACACACACCCTCGCCCCTACCCCAACCTCTCCACACACACAAACACACCCCCTCGCCTACACCCACCTCCACACACACACCCCTCGCCCTACCCTACCTCCACACACACAAACACACCCTCGCCCTACACCCACCTCCTCCACACACACACCCTCGCCCTACACCCACATCCACCCCCTTGCCCTGCACCCCCAAAACACACCCTCGCCCTACCCCCCACAAACACACACACTCTATCTCAGCGCTACCCCCCACAAACACACCTCGCCCTACCCCCCACAAACACATCCTAGCTTCGCTACCCCCACACACACACACACACACCCTCGCCCTACCCTCCCACAACACACCTTTAGCTTGCGCTTAAACACACACCTCGCCAGACCTCAACCTCCACACACACCACCCCTCGCCCAAGCCCAACACACACACACACACACACACTCGCCTGACCCAACCTCCACACACACACCCTCGCCCAAGCCCCACATCCACACACACACACCCTCGCCCGACTCCCATGTCCACACACACACACCTTTCGCCCTACCCTCACCTCCACCTTCGCCCTACACCCCCACCTCCACACACACACACCATCGCCCTACCCCCACCTCCACACTAACACACACCTCCCTTGCCCGACCCCCACCTCTACATACACACACCCTCGCCCCACCCACACACACACACACACACACACACACACACACACACACACACACACACACACACACACACACACACACACACACACACACACACACACATACACACACACACACACACACACAACATCAACAACAAAACAACAACAACAACAACAAAAACTCGCCCTACCCGCACCTCCATACAAACACACCCTCGTCCTACCCCCACCTACACATGAACACACTGCCTGTACCTTTTCCACCCGTTTCCTCCTTCAACAAAACAATATAATACCACCAAGTACAATTGCAAACACGAGTCCTAATCTGTTACAGGCACCCTACTTTATTTGGCTGAGTATTGTTGCGTCAAGACGCCCGTACCGGTGTAAAAAATGTTGAGTAATACAATAAACCGAATCATGCCCTGAAGGCAACCTGTGACCTTCGTGTCAGGCGTGAAGGCCGTCATCCGCAGCCCAGTCAGCCACAGGTCAGGTCATACTAGTCAGCACCTGCAAGACTTGGTCTTCCACCAATACGAACATTACCTGCATGTCTCAAACTTCTAACTACGTTTTTCATTGCAGAGTCACCATCTGTCGATGATTGAATGTTGTTTGTTTAAAGAGATAAGCTAAATAAAAGATCTTAAGGGTGATATATTTGTTAGCCTGTACATATCGCCTCGGACAGTGAGGTTAGCCTACTTAGCCACCCAACCCCCACCCTCCATATATATCCTGTGAAACAGAGCTTAATCCTGTGACTAAGCTTGTTCATGTGTTTTCAGACGTAGCTTCTTCTTCATATCCGTTAAAACAGGGCGTCAATTTACCAGTTTGTAAGAATGCTTAATATGGAAACACTGTCATAATATTGAGTAGTGGGTTCGTATTACCATATCTGTTTGATGAAGATCCAGGTATGACACACTGCCCCCGGATCCCAGGGTAAATATGAGAAGGTCAGATTGCTTTCTAGTACGGCCGACGGGGACAACGCGAAAAATCCCAACAGGTGTCCAACTTTTAACAAAAGGAAAACCGCAGCTGAGAATTGCTTTTTTCATCATAAACTGCATACCACGAGCTTGCCTTCCCGAAACATATTATTTGTCATTGGTAAAACCTGGTCTCATCATGGCGAGACTCTGAAACGTTTACTAAAGTAACACAGCAACAGTATTGTTTGGATATATACTCCTCACAAAAAAATAAGCAACAAGTATTTTCAGTGTAATATCTTTATCAATTTCGATAGCAATTTTTGCCGACATGTTACTGAAAGGTAAATATTCAAAGAATACATAACCTTTAGTAACTGTCAAATTAATTTATCTGATAACATTGACAACATAACCCGAACACAACCACACTCAGAAACAACATGCAAAATGTGTGAGATGAATGTGCTCCACTCTTCACACATGCACCCTGATCATTGTAAACCTACCTGTAATCATTCCTCTGGCACAACAAGCGGGTCCTAACTTCATTTTAATGGGTGATAATGCCCGTCCATGGATGATAATGGCCGAGAATGAGTTGTTAACGATGTTGTTTAGATCAACAACATCACACATATGGACTGGCCTGCAAGGTCACTTTGATCTTAATCCCATTGAACATGCTTTGGGACATTATTGGAAGTCGTGTTTACGGTCTCCATGTTCACCCCCAGACTCTGGATGACCTTGAGCAGGCGTTACAGAGAATGGCAGAACATTCCACAACAGCAACTTTAAAGGCTCATTTGGTCAATGCAAAGACGTGTAGAAGCTTGCATTTGTGCTCATGGTGGTCATACGCGTTACTGAACACTGCTTCACTGTCCAAAACTGACTTGAACCTTAATGTTAACATTTTGCTCCATCAATGCAGCACATTTTGCACGACTGTTTCTGCGGGTACATGCTTTTGATGATTTGTAAGTCTATTATTGCTCAATACCATTTCATTTCATTTTGTTAATCGTGTGTATACATATTTAACCTTTCTATTGCATCATTCCATGATTTGAAATTTCAAGAAATGAAAATGTAATGAGACTACAAATTTGTGTTGCTTAACTTTTTGTGAGGAGTATATAACTACAGTCAAGCATTGCGTGTCGTGTACCCTGATTTTGTTGTGAGCGTGTGTATTCAGGCGGGTCTGAAGCAGGGGAATGATGCGAGGTTCAGGAAGGTACATACAAGGTTTTCTATGTATATGGCGCTGTATGTACTGGCGTAGTGTGGAGTGTATATACCTTGTGTACCAGATGTGGTGTATATGGCGCTGTATGTACGAGGTGCTCTGACTAGGAAGGTGTTCGTATGTACGAGGTGCTGCAATTTGGACAGGCATTGGTAACTCTACTCGTAACTTTCACTCCCCTATGATTGGCAAGTACTTTCAACGTCTGAAAAAATCATTAATAACACAACATATTTTTTAAATCTAGAGTATAAGCTTTTACCTTCGGACGGCCGCTACACAGTGCCAATCACCTAGACTAAAAGAGCTCGAACGTTTTTTGTACCTCAAAGTATTGCACTTTTAAAGAAATGTTGAATGTCCAATTTTCATCGTATTCATTTCAATATTTTTAAGCACATGTTTATCTCTTTTTATGTTTATAGTAATGTCATATTTTATGTTGTTATTCATTTGTATTTTTGTCAAGCTCTGTGATCCAAAACGAATTCCTTTTAAGGTAATAAAGTATTGTCTGTCTGTTAAGGTATCTAGTCCAAGCCTTACATTTGGGAACCGGAGGGCAGCAAGGCGTGTTTGTGTTTGTGTGTGTGTGTGTTTGTGTGTGTGTGTGTGTGTGTGTGTGTGTGTGTGTGTGTGTGTGTGTGTGTGTGTGTGTGTGTGTGTGTGTGTGTGTGTGTGTGTGTGTGTGTTGAAGCGGTGTGTTTGACTGCAAAATGAACTGAACTAATTCGATAGTCCACATCTCCACCCTCGTGTTCACTGTAGGCTATACATACGTAGATGTCTTCTCCCAGGTTAACCATGCTGGCCTAATATAGTCCAAGCTGCATTTGCATCTGATTAAAACAGTTGAATGTTTACACAGTAAGAAGAGACGGGGTATGGGCAAACAGCCATAGAATGACGATGCACACACAGTGCCTAAACCTATACACCAACGGACACAACTGCAATACAGCATGGAGACAATCACTTCAATATTCGTTCATGCTCCAGTACAAAGCCAAGACCTGATCATTACAGTTATATACATATGGGTCAACTCTACCATCCCGAACAGATTATACGTTACCCATTAGCTGGCCCAACGAGATGACTTGTGTTTGTTAATGTATAATAGTATTTAAAGAGTTCATTTATATTCGTGCAAAAAGTTTCTGGGTGTAAAACCGAACACATGGTTGATATTATTAACACTGAAACACCATTCTTTCTCCGTATAAAATTATATTATAATGTAATGTAATTTTCTATATACAATGTAACGCCCAAATTGGTCCACTCAGGTTAGATAAATATTTTTACGATATGGTTTTGGGTCTGTTTGGGCAAGTCAAGAATTTATTGTAGAGCGGTTATTATATTCGTTAGCTTGGTATTTTGCCTCCAAACTCTCCCTTGAAGAAGGAATCGGCTTTCCTCAGACCAATGTATTCTTTGCCAAGTCCGCAGATTCCCCTGTATTATCTAACCAAACGACTGACAACTGCGTAGATGCATTCATTTCGGAGTGAGTGAGTATGGTTTTATGCCGCTTTTAGCAATATTCCAGCAATATCCCCAGAAATGGGCTTCACACATTGTACCAATGTGGGGAATCGAACCCGCGTCTTCGGTGTGACGAGCGGACGCTTTAACCATTAGGCTTCCGCACTGGCCCCATTCAGTTCTGGACCAGTTGCTTTAAAGGACATTCCGAAGTTATGCATGCCAATAATTTGCCATCTCTGGCCGCCTGATAATTTCCTTATTATAGAACGTACAATCATACACAAGCTGAACTTGAACATAGTTCTATTAGCGGTCAACATATTTAGGGGTGCTTAACGTTTTCCAGGTGGATCTATTTCTGTTTATGCACGACGTGACGTGTCAGTTTTATGGGGATGGGGATTTGGGATTTGGGGAGGGGTGACAGGGAAGCATGGACATATACAGTTCTTAGACCTTTACCACTTTCACCTTGTACGAATATGGTATGATGCTGACAATCCTAGAAACATTATTAGCGCCAACCGTAATTCGAAATCCACTACAACAGGTTTTAATGGCGTGCCCAAGGGACGCAACTCCGTGGCGCCATACGCGGTAAGGCCACAGGTGCTCAACCCCGGGTAACACAAAACTAAATATTTTCCCACTGACTTATGTAGTAACGTCAACTTATTTAAAACAAATTATGTAAGTCCTCAACAGATATCGTATCTACGTATGTGCATTGTCTGGCCTTAAAGAAGCAATAACAACAAAAAATGACTACCTCAATCGGTACCTTTTCCAAGTAAAGGAACATACAGTTCCCAGTCCCAGGTCTGCACAAAATGGTAACACGCTTGAAAACGGCTGTGGTTTCCTTCAGCATAAGTCATCATGAAGGAAAACTAAGTTCTATGGATAGTCAACTTCTTTATTGCAATGAGTGCGACATTTCGGTGTAGGTACTACCACCTTTATCAAGCAAGTGATGGAGTCATCATGTTAGAAACAGGCATCACTAAATATTGAAAAATGTGGTACATTGTATATGGTTATTTATGGTAATTACTTAATGAATGTACATTAAAATAACTCTCACCAATTTTACCAAGAATAACAGCCAGATGATTCAGTCTACCTTCGAAAACTGCTCGTTAAACTTCAGATTCTGATTTGTTTAGTATACCCCTTCAACTAATTTACTGGGCATCAGTAATTGCGACCTTGAAATACATGTACGTAAGAAGAGACCCCTTTCGTGAGCGTGCGTGCAAGGGGTGGAGGAATTAGCGATGGCAACATCATCATCTTAGTCGTATAGCGAACGAGACGCTCTACGAAGTTCATTTTACACATCATATTGTCGGAAATGTATTGTGACATCATTAGCATTATCTTCGTCAGTAACTGTCCTCATCCAAGACTTTTGGCGATGCAAGTTAAAGTGCTTTGAAAAATCACTTCTTTGTGTCGATAACATGTTTAAATTTTATTTGAACTGATATTTAAAAAGCAACGTTCCTGCCTGGCGTTATTGTCAGATAATTGTAATGATAAAAATAACCCGCTTATCTCAAGCTGTCTCATGGCAATTAATTCTTGGTGGAACGGTAGACACTGTCGATATAACCATTACCCTTTCAAGACATGAAACTGGGTGTTATGGTGGCTTATTGTGAAGATTGAACTAGGGAGGAATATCACGTTTCAATGCACTGCCCTTTTCATAGGAGTGACAGAAACAAATACCTTCAAGTGCTACAAGGTTTTACGTCTATTAGTGATGTTGAAAAAAGTTATTTTGCTGATCTTGAGATATATATATATACCTGTCTAATATTTACCTAACTGTAACACAGTTTCTGTTTTCTAATTGATGTTAGCTTTACTTCCATTGTAGTTTATGTAAAATAGTCTTTCGACATCCGTATGAAACCGCTCAATATTTTAATGTCTCTTTATGTTGGAATTGTTATCACGTTGAGATGAGACTGTAATAATGTTCCTGACAATTAAACACAACACATGGAACAATAAAACATCCATTGAGTTTTCGGAAATCCTACCACAGGCTGAATTTCTCGGGCACACACGGGTTGAATGGAACTCCGGCTCAACATCCTGGCGTTTACTCCGAGCGCCACATCCTGCTTGCTGTCATTCGTACAGCAGCAATGTGAATACCAGAGTATTTGAAGATCTGCACAATTCTGGACATCTTACAAACCTTTCGTTAACAAGTGTACATAAATGTGACGTGCTCATTTGGTGCAGGTAAAGAGGATATCGGAAGGGTTATAGAGAGTTCGCAATAAAAGGCTCTAATTCAATTAAGCCAATACTGCCTAAACATGAGTACGTATGGGCTCACTTCCGGATGTAAGGACAAAAGTATTATTTTAAAAACAAAATAATCATCTCCTCCATCCCCATGTGTCGTGCTGTAATTTTAGAGTTAAACCGCGAAGGCGCACGGGCAGGGTAAATAGTGTTCAGTATCTAAATGATGGATCACAATCAACTTTACCAAGAGTTATTGATAAATGAAGGTCATGCATGTTGTGAACGTTGTGTACATGGATATACATCCAAATCAGATTATACATACGTCAAACAAAAGTATCTTGTCAATAGTAAAAAAATGCTTGCCTTGGAACATGACCAGATATTAATGACATTTTTTTAAAAGTTTAACATTTTGGTTTTGACGTCCGTTTTATAGTTTAAGATAAAGCGACAATATAACATACACAAGTTATTAGTAGAAAAGGTTAGTATTGTGTGAAGAACCATCAAGTAACTCCTTAAAGAACAGAAATAATATATACATATATATATATATATATATATATATATATATATATATATATATATATATATATATATATATATATATATATATATATATATATATTTCATTGCCATCATTTGTTTATGCTATAGGTTCATTGTATATGAAGGTTTTAATCCACTTTCAAACAGAAATACCATGCACATCTCCTTGTGGCCTTGTACTTGGGACACTGTAGGACACTTGATGACGTGGTCCAGACTGATCTCCTACACGCCACCATGTGTCC